TCTCTAGTTTTATTGTATTTTAGTATAACTAGACAATGTCGTTTATTTTTACATAATTTTAATTAAACTTCATATAAATGAAATCATAGTTTGTATTCTTCTGTGCCTTTTGCTGTGAATAGTATGCTCCTTAGATTCCACCACTTGTTATGAATTGCTGAAACAATTTCTGTATATTATTCCACTACATAAATATACTACAATATATTTACCCATTCTATTGTTGACAAAGATGTCAGTTGTATCCAATTTTTTCTATTATAAGAATATTATACATGTTCTTATAGCTCATGTACCTAACTTTTACTAAGTGTTTACTAAGAAATATAATTGAGTAAATTTACTATATAATGCCAAACTTTTTCAAAGCAGATGAACCAATGTATATTTCCATGTGCAGAGAATAAGAGGTCCTTTTACACCACATCCTCACCAAAACTTAAAATACCCAATTTAAATTAATTCAGTAGGTATGAAATATTTTATTTCATTTTTAATTTTCACATCCTGATTGCTAAAATGGTTGGGCATCTTTTCATATATTCACTGGCCACTGACTTTTCCTCTCTTACGACATGACTGTTCAAGCCAATGGCTGCCTATATGTGGTCTTTTATTATTGGCTCATAGAACTTTTTATATAATTCATTTTGTTATTTCTTTCTCAAACGTTTTCTTCCAGCTTCTAGTTTGTCTTTTTGCTTTTGTAAAGGTATTCTTTTGATGAACAAAGATTTTTAATTTTAATGTAGTCAATTTTCTCAATCCTTTATGGCTTTGCAAGATTTCTTAAGTGTTTCATTTAAGAAACCATTTCTTACACTAAGGTCATAAATATACTCTTCTACACTGTCTTCTAAATTTTATAGTTTTGCTTTTGCATTTAATTAGTCAATCCACCTAGAATGAACTTTTGGGTACAGATTGAGATGGGAGTTGCAATTTCAGCATTTTTCCTTCATTGGAAAGTCTGACATTTCTCAGCTCATCTAGAGTGCTATTGATGTCACAAACCAAATTTTCATGTATGTGAGGGTCTGTTTCTAGGCTGTGTGGCCAACATTCCATTCTTTTGCTCCAGGGTCTAAATTGCTGCACTTTAATAACAAATATCTCTCTTTCAAGACATGTGAAATGTCATGGTTAGTTCTGGAGCATTTTTCTTTCATACGTATTTTTGCAATAGCTTGCTAAATTCTCTTTTAAAATTCTTTAGAATTATTTTTGCTGGAGTTACATTGAATGTATAAATTAGAGAAAGTTGACTCAATTAAGCTATTGAGTCTTTTAATCCATGAGTGAGTTTTATTTGTCCTTTTATATAAGCTTTCTTTAATATATTTCAATAAAATTTATTCTCCTCCATGAAGGTCTGCCTATCTTTTGTTAGGCAAGGTCTTGCCTTTTACCAAGGTCACTTATAAATTATATTTTCCCTCTCTAGACATATTCAAGTAGATATTATATTTTATATTAATTATGTATCCAGCAAACTTACTAAAATCTTATATTATTTCTAATAATTTATCTGTAGGTATATTCGAGGTTTTCTAAATAGACGATGCCATCATTTGTGAATAGTAACAGTTTTATTTCTTCCTTTCCAATGTACTTCTTGTAATTCTTCCTGTCTTCCAGTACAATGTCAAATCCAAGTAGTAACTGATTTTCAAATGTTAAACCATACTTGCATTATTGGCAAAACGCAATGTGGCCATAATCTCTTTTACATGTTATTAGAGATGATTTGCTAATATTTTGTTGAGGATTTCTTTTTGCATAATTTTTATGACTAGAATGGTTCTATAAATCATCTTTTTCATCATTATTTGGATTTGGTACCAAGGTTAAACCTCATTACCTTATATATCTCATACTCTTAAGGTTTTATTTACTGATTTCCTGGTATCAGAGTTGTACTACTTTCATATTGTGTCTTTTGGAATCAGTTACATGCAATTGGAGATATCTGTTCCAGTTTGATATAACCGATAAAATAAATTGGATCTTATCTTTCTATCTTCTTTCTTTCTCCCTTCCTCCCTCTCCCACTCTTTCTTTTGCTGTTTGTTACTTATGGTGATTTAATTCCCTGTGAATTTTGTACTTTGAAATTGTTAAGCTTGTATTTCTTGAAACTTTTACGTTTAGGCTTTGATTGATGGTTGAGTGCCTCAAGAAAAGATATGTTTTTGGTTTTTTTTTTTTTTTTTTCCTCCTGAAGGGTAGCATAAACTCTGGCTGCAATGATCAGTTTCCCACAGAAAATTTTTTCTTCCCTGACACTATTTTCCCATGCAGTACTTGAGGTAGAAGATTAGATTTATTTTCCTCTTATACAGCAGTGATGTCCATGGGGTTCTGGCTTTATGCTGAATTCTCTAATTAGACATTCCATTTTGGGTGGGCCCTGAGCTTTGTCTACTATAAGTCAAAGCAATACCTATTTAAGGTATCATCCTAATATATAGAACACAGGATAAATATGACATTATGAAAAGTGAAAGAAGTCAGACATAAAAATGTATGACTTTATGATTTCATTCAAATGAAACTCTAGATTGATAAAATTAGTCTATAATGTTAGAAAGTAAATTGAATGGTTGTTTTGGGCTGAGAGTAACTACAGTTCTGGAAGGGAACTAACTATTTGAGGTAATAAAAATGTCCTATATCTTGATTGTGGTGACTATTTATCAAACTATTAATCTAAACACATTTAAAATTAGTGCATTTTATTGTATAAAAATTATTACTCATTAATTTTTAATATTTGAAATATATAATAAAAACTATCAAATTGTACAATTAAGAGCTGCATATTTTATTTTATGTCAGTAAAATAATCTTTAAAACTCCTTTAAGCGCTGAAATTCCAGAAATCAATTAAGAGTTTTTACCACTGCCCTTAGTAGCATCACTATCAGTTTAAAGTAAACAGAGCCCTTATCAGAGCTGACAAACCTCCATGATAAGGCCATTAGTCCTTGGTCGGGTCACTATTTAGTTTTTATTGCTGATGAAATGTACAGATTATGCTTTCAGACCTTTATCTCCAATCTCTAATCTTACTAGGTTTGGCATTCCCTTTACTCCTGCATTCAGTGCCATTCTTCCCTTATTGGCTCAGATTATGGTCCCAACTAAATTTCATTCTTATTTAACTCTACTCTCCAATTTTCATCTTAACATTCTTTCAGTGACTCGATTTGGTTCAATATCTTGGATTCCTCTCATCTATAGATGTGCTCATCTATGGATGTATAAACAATCAACCAGCTATTTGAAACCTATCATTAAGAGGTTACCAGCTGGTGGGGGAAATTTATGGGTAAATAATGATAAGGAGAGATACACGCAATGCTACTGACACATAACAAAAGGGCCCCCGGCCCAGGTGAGAGAATCCAAGAAGGTTTGTGGAGGAGATAGATGAAACCAGAGCCCAGAAAGGTGAACAAGACTAGTGGGCACACAAGGGCAACCAAGAGTCAGTGCAGAGTATGGCATTCAAGGTAGAGAACACAGGAGGTGGAGCAAAGGCATGGGGAAACCGCAGGGTCCCTGTGGCCCACTGGAAAGCTGGCATTTCTCAGGCAAGTAAGGCCCATTTCTTACTGTGCCTTTTAGCATTTCAGGATTTTTGATAAACAAGAAAAAACGTATACTCAACTTATATTTTTAAAGTCGAAAAAATATTGCCATTTGTGTTTGTTTCTACGACATCTGTTTCACACTGCAAACTCTGTAGTTGATCATTGTAATACAGAATTGTTCTAGCATGGTTTTTAGGAAGTACAAAGTCTATACTCAGAAGAATTTAATCGCATGTAAGAATTTGATAGTTTATTTTTTTATACCTGGTTCATGAATAAATATCACCACAATGTGGTAGTTGGAAGAAAACACATTCAAATCACTTGAATTATGATAAAATAAAATAAAGAAAATGAGCTACAAGAAGATGACATTATTTAGGCGAAGGTTTCTATTCTAACTTCTATTTCCCGTTGACAATACTCATCTTCTGGTCTGTGCTTAATGTTATAATGTTTCTACATACAAATACTATTTCTAAAGAGGACCTTACAAGCAGAGGAGGATATCCACTTCCTAGGGAAAGTGCACGCGTGTGTGTGTGCGTGCGTGCGCCTGTACATTATTTAGGTTAGAACAAGCATGGATATTATTAGTCTTCAAATGAATGTTTTTAAGCACCTTATGATTTTGGGTTTCAATGACAGTAATCACTATCGTAGATTTAAGGATCGCAAACCAAACAATATCATTAAATTCTAAGATTTTAAAGATACAGTCAAAACTGGAATCTGTAAACAAGTAAAAACTACTTTTTATTTCTCCTATTCTTCAGTCCCCTCTAATTACCATAAGCCAGTCTCCCTTTTAAATATATCTGATTTCCATTTTTAAGCTCCTCTATCTCTGTTACTGGCAGCTAAAGATAGAATTATTTTATTTGTAGTGTAATACCTTTTTCGACGTTTTGGTATGTGTATCATATAAATCGCGCAAAAAAGTACTATGATAATTTAAGGATACATGCATTCAATTTTTGAAAAAAATTAAGAACTTGTATCAAAAAATTCTTTTCTTAAAAAAAAGTCACTGGATTTAAAGACAATATAAATCACTGTGTACACTGTATTGTACAAACAACATACAGCCCTGCTGTTGGATACCTTTCTTTCCCCTTTAATATAAATTACAAAATTTTTAAAGTGTTAGGGGTTAAAAACACCCATGGTTAAATATTAGGAAGTAAGTCCAAATTGCAGAATCTGCACCTAAAATATGTGATTTCAAAAGTATTATTTTTCAAATGGTAATTTTTCCAACTATTATTCAACATACAAAACACACAGTGCTAGAGAAGTTCTTCCAAGCATAGAGCTAGTTAATAAGACAAAGAATATTTAATTTCACACATGAAGCAGAAAGGTACAGATAAGTATTTTCCATCAGAAAACAAACCTTAAGGAAATAGTTGTTATTGTTATTGCAGTTGCCAGACACTTCTTGCAATTCAGCCGCAGTGTTCTAAAATAGTTGACAACAAAAATTAAAGAAGGCTTTTTCCCTCACTAAAAAGAGTAGCCTGTGATAAAGAATAAAAAAATACACTAAAGTTCCAGTGCCTGCTGTAACACACACTTTTGAGACCTAAGAAAATGCCCCTACTCTTTGTTTCTCAACATTATAAACACAGCATAAAGTCAATTTACATTATTAAAAGACTATCCATAATAAATGCAATCTCTTGTTCACGCAACACAAGCTGTTTTCAGCCTCAAACAGCAAACAGCATGAGTCAAATATAATGTTATCCCTTTAATGCTTATCATATAAAAATTTTATTCTTGTAAATCTTTTAACACTCAGGCAAAACCATTATTTTTTTCCATTTTTTTCCTCTAATTATTACATGTTAACACAAGCAATAAAAATGCATACCCATGTAGGTAGTTGCTCTAAACTGTATTCAATATTTTAAAAGATTCTAAAAAATTAATGTTGTCATGGCATAGTTATAATGATATTCATTTCCAGTAATGAAAACAAATTATGAAAGATTACATTATATTTTAAGAAAAGGGCCTCCATTTCTAGAGTGATGATTAACAGTATTATGAACTACTGCCTAAAGAGACTTTGGAATGCCACATATAATCTAGACTTTAAAATGTAATAAATATTACATTTAAAAAAGATATATAAAGAAGCAAAAGCAAAATATCATAATTTTAAAAGTGCATGTGTAATATAGCTCATGTCAATGTGAACAACCATATGTATTTTCTAACTCAAGAAAGTGGTAGAGTACCAGTTCATACTTTATTTCCAGTCTGAGCCCATAGCGTTTCACATTGCAAAATGCTTGTTGATAGAAACAGCTACCCAAAATATATGTACATGAGCCACAGTACACAAAACATATACCAGAATTACGTCATCCCCACCACTCAAAGGCCAAACATTGACTGTTGTGAAGTATGACAGATTTAATTTGTTATTGAAAGTCTAGTTGAAAAATTTACCATACCCCCAGAATTTCGTGGGATAGTCCTGACTGTCTGAGGGGTTTACTGAAATCCTCCATGGTTACCTTTCAGAGTGTTTAAAAAAAGGAAAAAAAAGAAAGAAAAAGAAATGAACAATAATTCTATTAAATCCAGAAATGCAATCACTTATCACAAATCTACATTTAAAATATTTCAATTGTTTAGATTTATATCTCCCTCTTCTTTACAAGATCCTCCCCTTTTTTTTTTTTGGCCTTTGGGCAGAGCCATTTAACATTTTTGTATTTTTTAATCAGAATGTTTATGGGAATGAAAAAAAACAGGAATGCAACTTAAAATTGAATTGGCCATTTGCTAGTTTTAAACTCTTTTAATTTAAATACTTGGAGAAAAAAAAGATCCCAAAATGCAGAAATTGAATTTGGAGTTTATCTGCATATTTTAAATTCTTTTGGAGTATGACTTATAATTTCCTAAAGCATTAAAACAGATATATCTAAGCGTACACAATACACGATATGGTATTCTTAATCCTAAATATGGTTCTGATAGAGGACAACTGTACTTCTATAATTTCAGGATATATTTCTCACATAGCAATGTTTTCCCTATAGGCAATTCAAGCAACTAACTCCCCTCTGTCAGTGTGACAAGTTCCAAGTTTTGGATGATTTGACCAAAACCAGAAGCTATCTATTTTTCAGTAAACGATGCTGATCTAAGTGCTGGCTCTGGAAACTAGCTGGATGAACTTGGCTGTTCTGCATTTAATTATAGGTTTTCCTGGCTGACCCAGAGAATGTCACAGGGGATACTGTCAAATAAAAATGATTCTAACTTTGAAACCACAAGATGATTATATAAATGATAAGAAAAGTGAAAAACCAAGTGATTAATTCCAAAATTAAAGGTTAAAAAAGATATGTAAATCAATAAATTACTTAATTACATATCAAATTAACTAAATTTTTCAAGGACTATTTACCCATGGGATAACTAGTGTTGGTTCTCTTGATTTCTATTATGTCTTTTGGATATTTTACTTCTTATTAACAGAGAGAGACAGCAAACAAAAAATAGAGACATAAAACTCAAATCACTTTAAAAATGCTTGGTAGCATTAGTAAAAAAATGAATTTAAGTCAAGTAGGTAAATTAAAGTGTTTAAACAGGAGTGGATTTTCATCATTTGTACAGTTTTCCTCTCTTCTATGCACAGAAAATGAACAGTTGGTTTTAGCTGGGCACATTTTGTCCAGAAGGTGGTAATACACAAGAAAGGGAGAAACTTAAGTCAGAAAGGATCAAGAAAGAAAGACAAAGGAAAAAGTTCCTTGACCAGTTCAATAAAGTGAAGATTATTTGGAGTAACACAGGAACAAGCACCTGATTTCTATTTCTCCAACTGGCTGACAGAAGTTTAAACTGAAGCTAAACTCTATTTTGGGGGGTAAAATATTTGTATATTCAATGATTCTTCCCTTTAAGCCCTATCTTCAGGACACTTATGGATTAAGTATTTGCCTAGAGTAAAAAATTCTCCAAGTATTCAGTTACTCTATTATTAGAAATACAGAACAAAGAATCACAGAACCTAAGTATTACAAGAAACTCCATCACACAAAACAGGAATCCTCTTTCCAATGTCTCCTGTTACCCAGTTATTCTGTGTGTGCCTGAACACAGACAGAGCCTTTCAACAGTCCACTCCATTCAAAAAGAGAAGTGTGTTGGAGAGTCCAGGCTTTGGAGCCAGGAAGACCTTACTCGCATTCTAAACCTGCCAGCTACTAGCTGAACCACTAGAAAAAAACCTCAGTGGTTGCATTTCTAGGGGGAAAAAAAAGAATATTTTTTATTAAGTTTATATAAAATCATATGAGAAAGGCAACTTGCTAATTACCTGACACTGAATATTTAGTTATCCCCACCCCAGCCCTTACCCCTGAAAATATCTGCTCAGGCGACAATCAATTCTTCCTTCCTTACAAACCAGCAAAAGAAAAATAAAAATTCCACATGATGTTCTCCTAAGTATAAACGTGGGAAGGAATTTAGAAATTTAGCCCAATCTCTGTGCATTACAGCCAGAGACACTGAGACCCGCAGAGATTGAAAAGCTTGGCCTCCTCACCTTCCACCACCTGATGTCACCCACATTCCCCTGAACCTCAGATCCAAATTCTTTCTAGCAGGGTAAGCAGGTAAAAACCATATTGGCAGAGGACGTTTCCACAATCCTAAAATAGGCTTGCAGCCAAAGCAAATCAGTATCTCTGATAAACTAAAATACTAGCTCAGAGAATCGAAAACTAGGTAAGATGAAAGTTCAAATATTTGAGGAAATCACTTTTTTAGTTTCTAAATCCAAGATCACACTTTCCTATATAATATCTCACTATAATGAAAAATCCTCGCCATTTCAAATGAACTCTACAAGTGAAAAACTAAATCAACTAAATAGACTTCTAAGAAACTAATTCATGTGAAGACTTTCTAATGTTTACTCTTTGATCAAACGTTAACTGATGCACCATTTTAAATTTCCTGCTATAAGTGGAGAATACATCCTCATTATACAACGAGCACATGAAAGATTAATATACATTTGGGTTAAACATTCCAGACTAAAAATACATGAAAAATATTTGAATGTCTGTTTATTAATCTTCACTACATACTGGCTAGAAACCAAAAAAGTTCTGGACAAAGAATATATTCAGAAGAGCAGAGGATGAACATATGAAGTTGCGCTGTCCTATCAGCTGGTATAAAGAATATTTATTTTACCTGAATATTTACTATGTTTATGGAGTATAAACTACTACAACTAAATTGTTGATGAATCTTTTGACGTGCCGATATGAAACACATGCATGTTTAAAATAAAGCATGTTGTCTCATTATATCAATGTATGTTTGGCATTTACATTAGAACTAGCCCAGCATCTGTATTATATTACAGCACACAAGGGTTCTGGACAGCCGTTTTCACTTGGGGGTTAGCTTCTATTCATTTACTTGATCTTCTGCAGAGAACAGGATGCAAAATTACTCCAATATGTATCTACTCTATGGAATATGTGCTGGTGGAAAAGCTTTGTTCTGCATTATGTTAGCACAAATCACAGTGAGCAGATCCAAAGAACCTTTTCTTCCTGGAAAAGAAGAAAACCCTGAATACACTTAGCAATTTTTAGTACTTTTTAGTGTATATTTGTGTATGTATGCATGTGCTTTTTCACACAAAATGTTTACTGATTTTTTTTTTTTTTGGAAAAGCATTATATGCTTACTATAGAAAATTTGGGAAAAAATGAAAAAAAACATAAAGCAGAGAGAGAAAATCACCTAATTCCAACAAGAAAGACAGCTACTATTCACATTTTGGTGTTTTTACCCTTTTTTGTTTCAATGGACTTCTTTTAAAGGTGTGGTAAAAGATGACTCCTTAATTATAAAGTTTTCATACCACAAATAGGCTATCATTACTTGACTCATAAGTGAATACCAAATGCAAGTAATATTATTTTTCCATGAGGTTGAACGTAGACACATTCTCCTTGAGAAACTGCAAAGAACCTATCATACTGTTGTTATACAGTAAAGAGAGTTTTATAAAGTAGCCATGTGAGGAGAAAAAACGTAAGAAAAGAGTGTTGGCAAGGACTACTTACCTCATCATCGTCGGCATCATACTGGGCATAATGCTGCTCAAGCAGCTCTCTCTGGCGCCTTTCTTGTTCCAGCGTCTGGCTTATCAACTGGGCAACCTCACTCACTTGTCCTGGTTTTTCTCGCCCAATAACAAATCTATAGGAAAGGTAAAGAAAACTAATACAGTTAGATTCTCCCATAAAAAGGAGTGCTAAGAAAAATAACCAAGCTTGATATCTCATCAGGGTCCCTCGAGCCTCAAAAAGAAAATATCATCTATATACTTTAAATCAGTTGTCTCCAACCTTTGTGGCACCAGGGACTGGTGCTCCTATGAAAATCTAATGCCTGATGATCTGAGGTGGAGCTGAGGCGGTGATGCTGGGGACCGGCTGTATATACAGATGAAGCTTTGCTCTTCTACTTAGCCCACCGCTCACCTCCTGCTGTGTGGCCTGGTTCCTAACAGGCCACAGACCAGTTCTGGTCTGTGGCCTGAGGGCTTGGGGACTTCTGCTTTAAATGGTAGGCCTGGGTGGCAGGAGAGGTTAGCTGAGCAATTAGAGTGATTTTTTGCAGACAGAGCCCAAAAGAAAAGAAAGAGAAAAAGTAAAGGATCATTAAAAATTATTACCTTGGGAGAAAACAAAACAGATGTAATACATTCTACAGTACTTTACACATTTTTTGATGCCCTACATATGGAAGCAAACTCATAATTTCCTGTACCATTGAACTCAAGAATCATTTCCACAATAATGTTCTCTTTATAATGCAAAAAGTGCTTCAAAACTTTTTGAGGTATAGCATACCTTAGGTGGGTAAATTATATATAGAGAGAGGCACTGTTTGCTAAGTTACAGTAACTTTGGAGGTAAGAAAGAAGAGGGAAACAAATGTAGTCATTTTGATTTTAAAATAAAAATATAAAAAAAAGGTGGTGAATTAATTCACTTTTTGGAAGAGATGGTATGAGGAAAGATGTGGCTTCAAGTAATAAAGGAACTAAGGTACATATGTTGATACTAATTCCTGTAAGAAAAAAAAGTATAAATAAAAAATCAGGGAGGTAATTTATTGCAAACTATAGTCACTTATGATAAATCCTCATTAACACTACGTGCTTTGCTCAACAAATTAATATTCACTTAATATCTTTTCGCACTGATATATGGTTCTATTTTCTAAAAATACAAACAATAAGTATCCATATTATTTCCATATATCATTTAACATCATTATTTTGAATGTGACTCTTAGTTGTCTCTATACTTGATGCTTTCCTATGATAGTGCTGTATTCAATTATATTTTAAATGAAATACTCCAGCATTCTTTGTACAAACACACTAAAGGTCCAAATTTTTATATTTAGATGTTAGTATTTGTCTTTTAAGAAATTTTATTAAGTTTCAAACAGTACTTACTTTGATATTATGTTTGGATGTTCATTTATCACTTGAGTTATTTTCCTTTGGGAATCGACTATAAATAGCACTTGCAAATACTAACATTTTTATCTTTATTCAGGTATAATTCACACATGATAAAGTATATCTATTAAATGTATAGGTCAACAAATTTAACAAATGTATAAACCTGTAATCATCACATCAATAAAGATATAGAACATTTTCATCAACCCAAAATATACTATTTCCCTTTCTAGTAAATTATCCTCATCCTGGATTCATATATTTATCTTTTCTACAGTTTAATACAGATGGAATCAAAAAGTGGCTTCTTTGGCTCATTATAATGTTTTGGAGATTTATCCATGTTGTTTCGAGTATCACTAATTCATTCTTTTTTTATCACACTGAAAAGTATTGTACCAGATGTGCTATATTTGGTTTGTCTATTCTTCCATTGATAAGTATTTGGGTTGGATTTTGGATATGATGAGCAGAGTTACCATAAACATTTAAGTGCAAGTCTTTGTGGGGACATAAATTTTCATTTCCTTTAGACAAATAAGTAATAGTGGAATTGATGTCATATGTTAAATGTATGTTTAACTTTTAAAGAAACTGTCAAACTGTTTTTCAAAGTGGTGGCACAACTTTATAGTCCTAGCAATGCATGAAAGTTGAAGTCGCTTTACCTCCTCACCAATACTTAGTATTGTCTTAAAATTTTAGCCATTTTACTGGGTATCTAGTTGTATCTTACAATGGTTTTAATTTCCAATACCCTGATGACAAATAATTTTAAGTATCTTTTCATGCATTTCTTGACTATTAGTATATCTTCCTAAGTTAAATGTCTTTTCAAATCTTTTGCCTATTTTTTAGAAAAAATTGTGTGTATGTGTTTGATTTATCTTTTCTCCCAATCTGTATTTTTGCCTCTTAATTCTCTTAATTGCCTTTCAAGGAAATCCAATTTATCGCTTTTTAAAAGATTTGTGCCTTTTGTTTCCTGATATCTTTGCCTCATTTAAGATTGCTAAGATTTTCTCCTATTTTTCTTCTTATAGAGTTAATCTTTTGATTTTATATTAAGTCTATGTTATCCTCAAATTATTTTTCATGCATGACGTTTATTTAGTAAGTTTAATACAGATGGAATCAAAAAGTATCATTATTTTCCAAATGGATAACCAGTTGTTTCAACACTATTTGTTGAAAAGACTATTCAATACTGCCATTCAATTACTCAGCTACATTTGTTGAAAATCAGCCAACCATATATTTGTGGATTGATTTCTGGATTTTCCAATCTACTTCACTGATGTATTTATCTGTGTGCCAATACAACAAACACTATCTCGATTACTTTATAGTAAATCCTGAAACTAGGTGGTATGAATTTTCCAATTCCTTTATATATTTTTAAACTATTTTGACTATTCTAAGTTATCTGCATTTTCATATAAATTTTACAATCAGCTTATCAATTTCTTTTAAAAATCTCATTGATGTTTAATCTGGGATTACTATGAATTTACAGATCAGTTTGGGGAAAACTGGCATCTTAACAACATTGAACTGTCTGATCCATGAACATATTGCATTTCTGCATTTCTGCATTTCTTTAGATTTTCTTTACTATAGTGTTTGTTTTCTATAGTGTTCAGTGTAAGGTTGTTTCCATAACTTGATAAACTTATCTCTATTTCATTTTTGTCAAGTTATTGTAAGTGGTACTGAGTTTTAAATTTCAGTTTCTAATTGTTGCTAGAGTATAGAAATATAATTTTTGAATACTGGACTTGTATTCTGTGACTTTGTTAAACTCACTTATTAATCATGGTAGCTTTTTTATAGATTACATAGCATTTTCCTATATAAAAGATCATATTCACCATGAAGAAAGACATTTGTATTTCTTCTTTTCCCACTTATTTATTTTGTTTGTTTGTATACCTATTTATTTATAGCTTTATTGCACTGGCTAAGATCTCCAGTGTATGTTTAAAAGAGAATGTAAGAGTTGACATCCTTGTTTTGTTTCTTAATTTGTTTCATGATTCTAGAGTATGAGTTCTGAATACCTAGAGACACACAGGCGAATTCATTTGGAGATATTATAGTTTCTATGATGGACGGAAGATACATAAAGTCTTTAACATGTACAACTAATCTAGAAATATCTTGAATTCATTATATTTTTGGTAACAATTTAAAAGTCAGAAATCAAGTGTAGGGATACTTAATTATTAAGAAACTCATATCCTAGGATGGTACACTTTAGTAAAATCTAGATTGATCTTTTATCTTTTTCAATGCATAATAGAGTGGAGTTTGAAGGAGTATCACTTATCTACTATAAAGCTGACAGGAGATTGAAGGAAGTAATTAATGTACAAAGTGCATATTAATCAAAACAGTAGCTGAACTCAAAGTAAAATTAGAATTCCCATTCATTTAAGCCATTAATTTTTTAAACTCATTTGAGAATTACATTGTCAGTTCTTTTAGTTTAAGAGTTTTCCCTAAGAATAGAGAAGTTTCTTTCCTCTCCAAGGCAAGTCTTTAAAGTTACTTTGAACACAGTTCAGGGAGAGGAAAAGATAAGTTTTGGGCCGCTTGCCAAATAGCTGAAACCATTGCTGCTGATTTTACAGATGAAAGAAGGAATCTTAAAGATCTTGTGAGAAATTTTAAAGCAGAAAAAAAATTTTAAGTCTAAATTATATTACACAATAAAAATTATGTAATTATATAATAAACTAAAACTCCAATATGATGTACAAGTTTCTTCCTATCCTCAAAACATGATCCCTAATTCCAAATCAGAATTATTTATGGATGCTAAAACCAAAAACTAAAAGGAACAAATACATATAATCAAAGTTTCAGAGAAAATAAGAATTGTTCCATATTGCATAAAAAAAACAGCATTTTAAATCATGAAGGCATAGTTGTTCAAAATCACAACTTGGCTTTCTTTCTGAAAGTACCCTTACAAATTTAATATTATTCGTTATTTACACAATATTAGTTCATATTCAAAATCACTTTACAGTTTGAAGTGATTAGTAATTGCATATAAAAGACAATTCATCTCATGAAACTCACTTTTAAAAGTTTTATGTTAAAGTAAACATCCCTTCATTCAGACAGGTATGTTGGGTTATAGCACCTAGCTGCATACATCTTTAAAGTCTTGTAATCCACTATAATTTATAGTACATATTTGCAATAATAGAATGTTATCCTGATAAGTATGGTCCACAGGGAAAACAACCAGAACTGGAACTAAGCTATTCTCTATGTCTTATTTTCCTCATGTTAAAATTAGTATCTATTCCATATGTCTAAAGGAGTGATAAAAGAATAAAATATGGTATAGATATAAAAAGGACTCTAAGGCACTATTGTTACTATGAGAAAACTGATAAAATTTCCCATTTGAAAAATGTATAACATTAAAATTAACTCGCTATAGATGTTCTTAAATATTTGGTCAATATTTAAGCTGTCTTTATAAATACATCCTATACAGTACATGTACAACCTACATTTTATAGAATTCAGTAGAAAATGTAAAATTTAAAGTAAGGTTATTTCAATTACGGATTCACAGTATGGATATGCCATGATAGTATTACTTAAGGATTAAAAGAGTCTGTAAAGGGGAAAAATGGCTTTGATAGGACAAATTCACTGAAACATAAACATGACTTACTAGTTCTGTGACCTTAAATATCAA